ATAGGTAGATGCTCAACCACTGAGCCACGGCCGGCAGGGCAGATTGGCTGATTAAGTTTCTTCCACCTCTATTGTGGTTCAAGAAGAAACGAAGCACTTTGGAAATGAGCATCCCCTCTGCTTGAGTCACCAGCTCTGGACCTATTCCCAAGAGTGCCAGCTGCAGGAGGGTGCGCACCCAAGCCTGGCAGGATTGCCACGATGGGCTTTTTCACAGGCAAACCAGGACTTACACAGTCGAAAGAGGCTGGGCCTTCCAAGTCAGCCCCGAGAGGCCACATGTCTATGCTAATGGTGCTGCTGGGGTGCACAAGAAGCTCTGGACACTTGTCTTGCACAGAGCCCTTCTAGATGGGCCCTAGAGCCCCAGGGGACACAGAGCCTCACTGCAGGGTGCCCACACCTCTGTCCCAGATCAAGTTCCGCTCCCCACCTGGCCTCCTTCCTTCTTCACAGGGCATGGCCCCTAAAGACTCACTCATTTCCAGAAGAATCAAGCCACCCAGAAGGACAGAGATTCACTCCCCTGTGAGGCCTCTCACAGCATAGGCCACAAGCTCTGAGATGATTCCAAGAGTTTCCAGAAATGGAGAAACTGCAGCAAATTGGTATGAGCATACAGCTTCCCAGGGAGGCCACTTGGAAGGGCCACTGCTCCTTTGGGTGTATAAAGCCAGTCTATAGCCTCCCCTCCTTGGAGCTCTGTATGTGGGAAAGTGTACATGCACCCTGTAGTCACACGCAGGAGTGCACCCCTGCCATGTGGGCCAGGCAGGCAGAAATGCAAAGGTGGGGCAAGAGCCAGGCCTCCTGGGTTCTCACCCTGGATCTCAGACGTCCTGCCTATGTGACTGGAGCACCCCACTCAGAATGCAAAATAGAACAGGAAGAAACTGTGCAGTCACCTGGTCCTCACTTTTTACAGATGAGGAAACTGAGGCCAGTGTGTGTGCATTGGGGATGGAAAGAAGTGATTGCCCCAGAGTTGCCGGGACAGTTGGTAGCAGAGGGAGAAACTGAACTCTGACCTCCCAAATCCCAATCCAGGAGGCCCATCCATCATCACCTCTCTACAGGACTCTGCCCTTGAAAAGCAAATAAAGATCATACTACCTGCCCTCCTTCCTGGTCGGTCGTGAGGACTGGTGATAATGCTTGAGAAGGCTCACAGGGGGTGAGGAAGATAAATAAAAGCAGAAAGTGCTGAGAGCAACAAAGAACAGCCTATTAACCCAGAGTCCAGCTCTGAGAATGGGGGCAGGTGGGAGCTGTTAAGTGACTGCATCACTAAGTCACACCCCTGTGACCTTAAATATTTCATGCACCTAGAAGTATACCACGGGGAACAGCTACTGCTCCCCCGAAGGGGCTGTGACTGCAGTGGGGACATCAACACTTGCACATGTGAGCACACCTTGCACAGGCACATGCAAGCTGGGGGAGGGGGCTGGGGCAGGCGGGCTCCAACTCTTACTCATTCTAGGAAGGGCCCCAAGAGCTGGCAAGGGGTGCTCTGCAACTCCCCAACCCTGTGGGTGAGCAACCCATGCCTTTTTCCACCCACAAGCCCAACAGACACTCAGTCACTCACTCAGCTCTGGGCATAAAAAAAGTCAAAACGACATACTCACACCTCCACAGACAGACCCACGCCAGCTCACGTGGAGACCCCAGCACCAAAGGCTGCAAGCCAGTCCCACAGCACCTCCCAGCTACCCATAAACGCTTCGCCACCCACCCCCAGCCTCCTCCAGAAGCCAGTACCAGGAGCTGTCTCTCCTCCCTCTCCTTGCTCTCTCCTCCTCCGCTTCCACCCCAGCACCAGCTGCTCCAGGGACCCCTCTTTCCACGCAGTCCCCCATCAGCCATCTCTCCTAAGCCTGAGCTCTTCAGGTCCCTCTCCTGACCAAAAGCTTTGGGGTAGAGTCTGAGACTCTGGAGCTTGAGAAAGCAACGTGAAGAATGGTGTGAGCTTTGGGAGGAATTTCCATGACCAGACCGAATTTCAGAGGAAGAAGGGACTATGAGGCCCAGACAAACTGGATGACTGGGGTTGGTTGGGGGGTGGAAGGTCTTATGAGAGCCTGGAGAGGTCACTCTCCCAACTCACTGTCCTTTTAAGAGAAAACAAGACAAGAGAAACAGCAGCTAACCATTCACTGAGGACTCCATGTGTCAGACACCTTACCTCATATGATATTCAACCCTATCAGGTGTGGACATTCCTGCCCACTGTACAAATGAGAAAATCGAGGCTCAGTAAGGAGAGTCTGAGGCCCCAGAGATAGAGGTATGGGCTCTGGCTTCAAGTTCCAGGGTCCTGATGGAAGGGGGTAGGGGACAGACAAGTCATCTCTTTAAAGGATACTCTGGACCCTGCTCTGTGTGTGTTTTTGGAGGTGGGTGAGTGGAAGGGAAGTCAGAGCAAACACCTGGGCCCTATTGGGCCCCTGTACCCGACTCCATCTTTCTCTTGGCTTCTTGCCCTTGCACCCCCTCCCTCTGCTGTCACTTCTACGGGGTGGGTAGCAACTGACCTGAAGGGGGGGCTAAGGGCTCCAGTTTAGCTGTTTCTCAAGCTGGCCCTGCTTCATCAAAGAGAGAGCAAGGGAACCCTGCAAATGCAGGCTGGGTGTAGGGGGTCCTAGAGTCCAAATGACAGCAAAACAGGGGCAGTTGATAGGAAATGGAGGTCTGGCTGGCCCACTGGGTTCCTCTAACCCCAGCATTACCCTGAGAAAGCTGAGCTGGACCTGGCATGTGTAAAGTGATATGGCTGGAGGGGTGGGAGGGGAGGGAGCAGAAGAGGTTATTTTGGGAGGTAACAGGGGAAGGGACCATGTGAAATCCAGGCCAAAGAAGGGCTGCCTGGGAGAGGAGGCCACTGAGGGTTGAGGCTGACCCTTTACAGGAGAGGATGACCATCGGGTCCCCAGAGAAGCAGGCATTGATCTGTATGGTATTTCCCCTTTGCTCAGTTTAAAGCAAAAGGAACAGATCTCCAGTCCTGGTCCCTGCAGGGCCCCCTCCCTCAGAACTCCCTGTCCCTTCTCCTCCCCACCAGCAGTCCTCCTCCTCCCCCCAGAATGTCCAGCCCAACCCCTCCCCAGTGCCCCAGCACCTCTCCTCTACCTATCCAGCCCCTGGCATAGTGCCCACAGCTCCTATGAATATTCTATCTCCTTTACTCTCTAGTTTGATTGATATCTTGGTCCTACACCAAACTAGTAAGTTCTTCACATAGTCTAACCTCCACCCCTTCAGTTACAGCAGATTATTTCATATTCTGCCAGCAGTGAAATCGGAAACCCAGGCTATCTGTAAACAAGCCACCCCACCAAAGGAGTTTCCCCGCTCTATTCCCCAGCATCCTCTTCTTGCAGGCCTTTCACCTGCTTTCCCATCCCCATAATTTAGCAAGCAGAAACAGAAATCTATTTCACAAGCATTATTGGCTCGCCACCCCTATTACTCCTTCTGCCGAGTCCCAGATGGTCGTCTTCTCTCCCTGAGCCTTCCACCCACTGCCATCAGCACTTCGAGAAGAGGCTCTGGCCTCTGGAGACCCTCTAAGGTCTCCAGTTCTCTGCCCTGCCACGAAGGGAACACAGGACCGCTGCCCGCACCCCACACCTCCCCTCCAAGTTTCCACCTCCGCCCTAGTGTCTTCTCCTCAAGGGAAAGTCCCTCTCCGCGTCTAGCCTCCATCCTTCCTGCTGCATACCTAAATCCTCTTTCCTTCTTTTCTCTGACACAACCCCCTTTCTCTATGAAAGGACACGATATCTTGCGTTTGCTGCCGCCTCTCTCGCAGCGCCCTTCCACCTTCCCCGCCCCTAAAACCTGCCGGGCGTGGAGAAGTTCGCGCCAGCTGCTCCCCACCCCCTCCCTGCCCGGACTCCCGGGACACCTGCGTCCCCGCCCG